AAACAAAATAAGGGGTGCAACTTTATTTGGTTTTCAGGTTAGATTCACATTGAAATAAAAACAATTATGCCTTGTTTTAAGGGGGGCTGAGAGATGGCTAAAGGGGGGAGGTTGGTCTATTCAAAAGTAAAGTATGGAACGATACAGTCAGAAATAAAAACTTGAAAATAACAGAAGAGGCCTAAAAAACAAGACTTATCACATGTTTTGCAATAAGCATTAGATTCTTGGAAAAATGAAAAAGATGTGATCAAAAGTGGATTTGATGCAAGTGGTTTGTATCCATTCAATCCTGATAGGGTCGAATATAATGTTTTACAAAAGAAAAAAAAGTATGAACTAGAATAATAAACAGTGATCAAGTTAACAAAGTATTTGTTGGAGAAGTTGTGTCTTACATACCAGATGACCTTTTAACACAATTCTAATTAAATTATGAATCAAGAATATGGATAGGCGATCCACAACTACCTGTTTTGTTCAAATTTTGGCTGAGAGTTAAGGGTGTTCAAGGAATAGACATTATTATTATTATGAAAAGTAGTATTACACGAACAATTTACGATGACTGTTCTTAAATACCTTTATCGTTTCTCTTTCCGTTAGTTAGTCTTTATATTATAAATTATTTACAGTGGTCTAATGTTTTTACTTCGATGAATTGTATATATGTTAAAGTAATTTTTCCTTTTCTTTGTAATATATAGATAAAGATATAACAGGTATATATAGATAAAGATATAAAGATATAACAGTTAGCCAGCCTAGAATTCAAAGTCAATAAAAAGTCCGAAGTAAGATTCAAATAATTCATCTAGCTCAAGACAAATTATCAGAAAAAGGTGCTGAGGTGGAATCAAACTATGTACGTAGTGAGATGAATCATGTTATTTTAAATCCTGTTGCTGACATAAGGTAAAATGCCCAATACTTGGACAAAACTACAATTCAGACCAATTCTTGGACAGTGAAAATTTTAGTATTTTACCCTAAATAGTATTTTAAAAAACGAAATAGATTAGTAGTGCTATGATTATTATTGATGATATACTTGAATTTTTAAATAAATAAATTTTAGTACATAGACATACAATCAAAGTTGTTTACCTTGTAACGTAGTTAATCTTTTACGCGAATTTTTTAAATTCAAGTGTATAAAAAGTGTAGTACTTTGTAGAAAAAAAAAAAACTGTACTAATCAGTTTTGTTGTTAAGGACAGCACCGTTTTAAGAAAATTGTTTTTTCAACATTTTTAAAATTTAACTTTCAACTCACTGTAAATACAGATGAAGTATGGGTTTTGAAAAGAGGAAAAATGTTTAAAAAAAGAGTAAAAGAATGAAAAAAAACAAAAGTGGAGGTCATACAACAAAAACAAAAAAGAGAAATAAGAAAAATTACAATCTTATTCAAAATAAATCTTAAATAACTAAACTAAAAAAATTAGTAAAATTGGTTTTACACTATCTCACTGATAGAACAATTAAAAAAACTGAGTGAGAACCGAGGTGAGAACTTAATTGAGTTGCATAATTCGTTTGCAATTGAAAAATCAAGAAGGAGAAGTGTGATTCCACACAATTAAAAATGTTGAAAATCAAAATACACCCTGAAGGATTTATCTTGTATTCAATAAATTATTTTTGGAAAAAAGATTAAAAATTTTATTTTCGAATCTCAAGTAATAAATTTGTTATTATTTATCACCTTTGTTAACCTTTTTTCGTAATAAGGTATTTTTCTAAATGTATACTTTAGTTTTAATAAGTACTTGCGCCTTATCATGATTTATAAAACTGTAAAATCGTTTAAGTTAGTATTGTCTAAGTACTGCTTTTCACCTTGTCCAAGTATTGCAGTATTGTCTAACTTTTGGTTTTCAAAGTTGTCCAACTACTACGACAGTCGAGAATGATTGTCCAACTACTCCGATAAGTTGACATGTTTTAAAGTGTACGATAACTATTATTTAAGAGCTGTTTTAAAAAATTTTATGTGTGTTATACAACCCTAAGGCATCCTAATTACAAGTTAATATTTAAAAATTATGGAAGTATTGCACATTAACTTCGAAATATGAGCGTTAAAATTAGTTTCGAAAAATCTATCCAAGTATTGGGCATTTTACCTCAAGGTTAGAAAATGTAGAGACAGTAAAAAAATCTTCAGCATCACACAGTCATGAAAATTTGGAAGAGACAGAAGAAGGTTCGTAGTGAAAATATAAAATATTATTTCAATGCATATTTTACTATCAAAATCAATAAAAACAAAATTTTTAGTAATTTTAGAAATTTGTAATGCTTATGTAGAAGAAGTAGAAGCTTACTCGTTTGTTGTAGAAAATAATCATATAAATTATTCACATGAAAATCAAGGTTTAGATTTTTTGCCTGAATCTACTAAGGGTACGGAGAATGAAATTCCTACTCATACACTGACTCCAATTATGGAGAAAAAAATACCGATCAGCAAGCAGCTGGTAAGCATAAAAAAATGAGTACTTTTCAGACGCTACAAAATTGGATTTAAAAAAATTTGTTCACTCTTTATGTTTTTCCAGAAGTCTGACATCAAATTTTGAAAGAAACTAGTGTCTGAATATTAATATTAACTACTGTATTTTATACACATACGTGCAGGCAAACATGTACACATTTGCACAGTAAAAGTAGAAAATACACACGCACTATCATACATGCACACTTTTATGGGTGCATCCATAACTCTGTGAACATGTTGCACTCACATACATACGTGCATGTATACATTGTATACGAGGACACTGAATACAGTAACACACTACGATACGGCAATAGGAATATTCATAACACTGCACTTGTCATTGCGCGTACACGATTGCGTATGTATGCATGTCGGTAAAAAAAGTGCTCCCATTTATTTAAATAACATCCGTTTGCAAAAATCCTTTTTTGCATTTAATTTGTAATCAAATTATCTTTAATTTGTTGCTTTTTTTTTCAAAAACAGCAAAAATGGAAGTGCATGCTTTTTCCTTACGCTTTCTGGCTACTGGATCCTAGCACTGGCTAACTGGCTTTCTTTCCCTCTTTCTCTGTGTCACCACTGCTGTTCTGTACCCCCCCCCCCTAAATGTGCACGCTTTTTTCTTACACTGTCTGGCTGATGGGTCCCCGTTCCCGACCGTTCGTATACATAGGAAATACACGGAGATTATATATCCTATCGTAACCCACGATGAAGAACTTCGTTCTAAAAAAACCATCTAAGAACCTATGGCGGTAGAGGGCACGCATACTTCCACTCTCTTTGTGCGACTTCGAGTCACTTTGTGTGCCGTCAGCGCGCTTGGTTCATGGCAGGCTGTCGCACACAAAAATGCAGTAAATTTATCATTAATTTGGAACGAAACGGTCGCTTCGAAAAAAATTTCGAGTGTTCATTAAACATTGGAGAAGAGGCTAGGCACGGTCTGACGTCGAAAAAGTAAATGGAAAAGTCGCTACAAGAAAAAAAGGTGGAAATAGAGTATCCTGGCTTTCAGTGGTCGTAGAACAATTTTTTTTTTTTTGTCAATTTTGAAAAAAATCAGCGCACCCAAATGCAATTGCTTCAGATCTCTAAAAAAAAAATTGACAAAAATACGGTCCTTAATTACTGATTTTTTTCAAATAAATATTTCATTTATTTATCTAACAATCTTAATTTGAGAAAAATTTAAGATTTTGTTAATATCTGTCGATTCCAGGAAGTTTGATTTTAATATTATAGGTAGGACCAAAATTATAAACAATCAAAATTTCAACTTAAGAATTTTGCAGTAGGTTGCCATTTACAAATTGTTTGATCTGAATTGCAGCTTGTTGTTAAGCACAAATAAGACTACAATATACTTGGCTTACGTTAATTTTTATCAATTTTTACTAATACTTTGCTTATAAAAAGCCTTCATTACTAGGTTAAACAATCAAAAAGAAGATTTCAATCTTTCTAGAGTCCTTGTCTTTTTAAAATTATCGCTTGAACAACTTTTATTTGAAACATTATTTCACAAGATTTATAAATTTTCATATATTTTATGAAAACTGAAAAAAGAAAACGAACAAATTTTTATTTTGCATTAAAAAGTAATGTGCTCGACCTTGCTTAATCTCGAGACTTTAGGATGATTCTGCGTATTTTTTTTTTACAAATTTTAAGACCAAAGTTGGTAATGTAGAAAAGACTTCCATTTCTGGCGATCTTTTGGCGTCTTGTGCCCTGACTACATAGAGATATTAGTACGAAAAAAACCGTAAAAGTATATGTAGACAAGAGAGAAAATGCTGCCAAAGTACCACAATATTCCCTATCTCTTAGCAACCCTCATTGGCTAATAACTGGCGTTCGAGAGGGTAGTGGGCGAAGGTATCCTTTAACGTTTGCTAGTTAGCCAATAAACGTTGCTGATAGAGAGGGAATAATACGGTACTTTGGCAGAATTATCTCTCTTACGTGTGGACACTCTCATTAGAAGCAAGTATGGGCATTCACGTACTCTATTCTTATATCTCTATGTTCACGTCATAGTTGCCATCCAAGTTTATCGGACCAAGGTATTGCCACAGCATCGATAGCACTTTTATTTATTCTCTAGAGATTTACAGGGATCCATGGGCTTTTCAAACTTGTTTTTTAAGCTTTGGCATGTTTAAAACGAAAATTGACGAATAGCACAACATTTTTCCGGATGAACTTAAGTATTTCTGTAATAACATACGAGCTTGTGCTTACTTAGAATCACTTTATTCTTTTTTTTGCGTGCCCAATGATTGTCTTACCTTTTAAGTAGCTTTAAAATTCTACAACCAAATCTCAAGAAGTTCTGTGAATGAAAAACTATTCACCTCCTTAGAATGTTATTCGATTGAAGGGAAAGCTATACAGCAAAGCCCTTTGCAAGCCAAATCATGTAAAAGTGTTAGAAATAGTTAAAGTTCGACATAGAGTTATCATAGCAATGAAAAAAAAAAAAAGATTATATCAACTAAGTCCATAAGTGTAAACCTTTTTTAGTATGAAACAAATGTATGTTAGCTTACCTGCACGACATTTTTCATGTTTGTGATTATACTAGGTTTCTTTGTTTTACTTGCATCTGATTTACTTCTAGGTCGAAATGCATCCCGTACATTCTTTTGAGATGGACTACTACTAGCAAAAGAAAATGATTCTATACTTTTTTTACTCTCATAATTATTATTTCGTCTACCGTGTTTATTGATTAAATCACGCTGGGACGAAATGAACTTTTTTGTTGATTCAATTTGCTGGTGCGACCGAGACATGGATTTTGTGGGAGTAGTAATATAATCTGACAATCCTTTTTGAATTGAAGTCATATTATCCCAAGTACCTGGAAAGGAATCATGAGATTTTCTGCAATAATAAACATTAATTGCTTAAATACCTGCTCTTGGACGATTATGCGTTTCATTAAAAAAAAGTGCTGAATCACTGCCTTCTGCACCAGCCACTGGTAATGTTTCTGAGCCCAAGTTCTATAAATACATTATATCATAAAAAGGTTATATTACGGTATTTTAATTTTTTAATTTGTAAAATTGTTAAAGTATGGATCATAACATTTTAGCTCTATTAAAAAAAACAGTCTGCAACATTTTTTTATCTCAAAAACGAGTTGCAATTCTGAAATATATCTTAAACATACAATTTATATGTTAACAATTTACATACAACCATCGTGGTAAGATTGCAAAGTGTGTCAGGACAGAAAAAAAGTTTTCGTATATTACGTCATCCTATAGAAAATACACAAATCAAGCTCTTGCTTCTGCTTGACTCCTGCACACGGACACACTTGATTACTCTTCCACTTTGGCTGCACACTGAAACTGAGAGTTTTTTTTTAAATATTGTATGCTCAAGAATAATTAAATCAACTTATTTAACAGAGCACGTTAGATTTATGCATAAGAAATTGATTACTGTGCAATCATAAATGTCATCACAGAACCTTAATTTTTTCGAGTTCGTATCAATCTGCGAAAGAAATAATTTATAGTAATAGGTTACAATTCATAAATTATTTTTAACGCTAACTGAAGGATGAACAGCTAGCTCTATTCAAATTTTTTAGCTGTAGATATCTTGCTTCAAATTATTTACGTATAATATTCATAGATACAAATATAGGGCTCCAGCAAAAGGGATTAGAAAAGCATCAGTTATAACTTCATTGTGGTTGCTAATGAAATGCACCAAATTTAATAAAAAATACTACAATTTTTATTTTGTGAGAACTGAGATATAAAAAATTTAGTTTAAGATGTTAAATACGTTGCAAAATAATTAGTACAAACTAAGATTCAAGTCACATCGCAGAAGTACTTAAAAGTTCTTAATATTTTGTAAAATTACTTATACTTTTCTTTTTCTCTTCCACTAATATAAAGTAGGTCTAGAAGATAGAACGAACAAACGCACGACTACGCTGTTATACATAATCATAAACAAAGCGTAGACATAGTGGGTTAGTAAACAAAATGTTGAAGGGCAGTTTATGCTAAAAAATTATTTTCTCACAAAAATGTTGAAACTTAGGATAAAAGCGGTTAACCCACATAACGTGGTAAAGTTTATTGAGCTTGACGTGTTGTTTTAAAAACATTGGGTTTCTAAGACGTCGGTTCCCATATTTTAATAGAAAATGTACATAAATAACTATAAATTTTTTATTCAATTCTCTTAAAAAACGAGCATGATATGGAATATATACATACGATTCATTTACTAAAATATTACAAATATGTTACGAGCCATCTTTAATATTTTCAATTTAAAAAAAAACTGGCTACGTCTTATAGTAAAGTATATTTAAATCGTGATAAAGTTGCTCTTAACTTTTGACGTTTTGTTAAATCTATCCTTTTTTGTTGGTTTTGCGATGTTAAATTTGTACTATTTATTAAAACGTAAATGGCTGGTACTTACGAGAAGTTATTTAAAAAATTAACGATAACCTCCTTTACTATATAGGTTGAGAGCAAATAGGGGTACTAAACTATTGTTCAGTTTGAATTACATTCTCGATAATATTGTTACGTATGGCAAGCAGAACCTTTGAATACTCTAAAATGAATAGTTAAATGTATCCCGAACATTTGTAATAAATTTGTAATTGATGCATTGTTATCTATTCCATTTCATTGATATCTTAGAAACAGATTTATATTTATGCCTTTAAAGCTTAATACTTATGATGAAACCAAAAGATTGCTATGAGTAAAGCTACAAATTTATTAATTTTCTACAAGTGCTCTGCGTAGCAAAATCTGAGTGAACCCCTCTGCTGAGCAAAAAGCTTTACACAGTCAGCTAATGTACATATTAAAACCCAATGCATTGTTTATATATTATCATTAAAGTTCAGACTTTATTTTTTGCTTTTGACGTGGACTCAGCTTAGCTCGTGACAGGAACGGCCCTTCCGAGAAAATTCTACATTACCTTTTTTAAACTAACTTAATTAAAATGTATAAGCTATTTGAGGCAAATAAAATAAATATTTAATTAAATAAAAACTAACATGTACACTTTTCCAAGTTTCTCAACTATTTATGAAAATCTGAATGAATCTGCATGAAGTAAACATCAATATTAATAAATTTTATTCCCTTCTACTAGATACTAGAAGTTATGTAAAAAATATTCAAAATTTTGAATTTAACATCTTATTTAATAAATAACAATAGTGCAGCAGTAAATATTTACTGATTATTCAATATTTGCTTGAATTTCATAATTTTTTAGTTGTCAGTAAGCATACGTACGTTAAATAGTTGTATGAATATGAGTGAGTCTTTATACTAAAACTTACTTGATATTTGTAGTCCTGTCGAACATCTATTCTACGAATCCATATTTCGTCAGTAGAATCATAATCAAGTGTACTAGAACTACTTGCTTGACTTTTCATTTCAATGAGACTAGAGTCAAAAAATCTTTTATCTAAATGTGGACTTTGAAGAGGACTAATTTTTGAAAACGTCGTACTAGCACTATCGCTAAGATTATCCATTGCAGGAAGAACCATTCCTGGACCCGTAGTGTTTCGTCGACGTAAAGATGATTTTCTTGATGGTGGTGATATGAAACTGCAATTAGTGACTTTTATTGATGCCAAACATGAAGTAGACTGAGATTCTACATTTTTCAAATTTTGTATGATGTTTATCTCCGTTTTCTTTGGACTCAGTTTTTCAAAAGAAGAAGATGGATGACAAACTGTTGATTCACTAGTTTTTTGCTCATCTTTGGATTCCTGACCAAATAAAATTTCTGCACTTTGAGTGGAGCAGATTTCTTTTGAGTCGCTAGCTTTTCCTATAAGTACATTAGACATGAATTTGTAAAATGAGTATTTTCGTTTAAAACACCTTAGTTAAAAATTTAAAAACACTATTTAGCAAGGAGTTCAAAACAAATTACCTTCTTCAGTTTCATATTCATCTTCCTCGCGGCATTCAGATAATCGTCTTCCCCAGGGGTAAGGGCTATGAGTTTGATTTCTTGAAGGCAATCGATTTACATGAGATAAAAAATAATGATTAAAAAAGCTATCAACTCCTTCTGAATCCTCTCCAGAAGATTGCAACATATCTTTTAAAGCAGCCAAAGAAGTGATTGTGTTATAATTAATTGCAGACACAAGATCATCTTCAATGTCACTTTCATCTGTTACCTCGTCGCCCTTATCACTAAAGGCTATTGTAGATGTAGTCTGAATGTTTTTTTTTTTTACATTTTGATTATAGGATTCTGGTTTTTCTTCCGAACTTGTTTCCGATTCATCGTCAGAGGTAGAACTTGAGGACGGAGATGATGAATTTTGACTTCGTCTATCTTCTTTGTCTGTCCCATTTTTATTCGTCTTAGAATCATGAAAGTATTTTTTGTTCTCATCAATTTTTTTCAGAGAAAATGTCGCATTTTCATTTTGTGTTGGTGAGGATGACATGGATAACAGTGAAACAGATTCTTTTCACCAATTTCAATGATGCTTAAGACATTCTAATACTAAAATATCGACATTAAATAAACATTTTTCACTAAGTATATCTTTATTTCTTAATTATTATTTTAGTTATTTTATTTGTTTGTTATTGTTTCATTTGTTAAACGATTAAGTTCCCAAAATTTTGTTAGTAAAATTAAAATCATTTCATGATACTGACAAGTTAAAAGTAAATGTACGCAAGTATTGTTATAACATACATCACAGCTAATATTTGGAACTTTTAATATCAGCTGCACACCATGTACTAATAAAAAGTTGTTTTCTGTTAAAAAAAGTTTCTTTGTAATTAAATTTAGCTCAAGGTTGTAATATATTGTGTGATTATTTCATTGCGTTCTCAAAAACACCTTCAACGCTACATATGGACACTATCCCATACCTTTGTTTGTACCTTGCATTTAAAATGAAATAACATTGTATAAATATCCTCTAATAATTAAGGTATTTTACTGTCAAACGTAAGACTATGCAAATATTTATGTGGGTAGGTGCGAATGAGGACGTAACATCTAAAGATTAATGTAAGCTTTAATAAAAATATCACACAATCAAGCATAACTGCTTCGAACTGTAACTCTTTGATTAGTCATGGTATCAGTTCAGTATTTAAATATTCAAAAATTATTTAGATAAGACTTAATCTACTAGACTTTCATAACAGATTAATACTTCTAGAATAATTCGTTAGCCCACAATGTCATTGGTCTTCTTGTTGATAAATTCCTCATTAAGCGAGAAATCTTGTCAAAATTTTTTGAATTGTGGTGTCTTGTTGGTGTTTAATCATTATTTTTAATCAAAGTTAAGTATATAATTTAGAATTCATCGCTTTCGTATATCAATCACAATCAACTATGTGGTTACACTCAGAAGTGCCAGTTAGGATGTTTCAAACTTAACCCACGTAAAGTCAGTCAATATTTTTATTAAAAAAAAAGTTAAATAGAACTGAATTTAACAGTTGTATAGTTTTTTCAGTGCTCCTAAAAAGTTTTATGCCAACAATTATACAAGCAATTATTCATAAAAATTCATTTTCTTGACTGCAAAATTTGAAGTATCAAATCATGTTAATGAATCTGCTTTTGCTTACATACTGTGAATTTCATTTCTGCTGAATTAAACTACATAGTTGATAGCAGGTTGTAATAAAGAGAGGAAAAAATTTATATTACAAAGAATGCATTACAGATAAAATCATTTCATTTTTCACATTTTTAACGAAGAAACGACAATGAGGGACTAGTTAAGGTCAAAACAGAATGATTTGTTCCAACTATTAATTTCATACGTAAGGCGCTGAGTGTATTAGTATGTGTTGGTTAATTTTGGCAAATATAGTTAGTAATTGACTACAGTAGGTGATTTAACTAGGGCATTGGAATATTCTAATTAATTAAGCAATCCACTACTAGCATCACATTTGATTGCTAGAGAATGTAACTTTATCTGAGCGTGTGCGAGTTCAAATAAAAAAATTGTTACTTCTATGCTGAATATATTAACATGGATTTAACACTATAGTGTTGTATTCATGATTATCCTTCATTTACATAGTTTAGCTGGTACATTTTCAAAACAAATAAAATAAACTACGATCAATCATTAGGTATCATTACTATAAAAAAATCAGTAAAACGTTGTTTTAATTCCCCGTTACTTTAACTTGATGAAATCTGAGTAACCTCCTTTCCCAACCCTACATAACTATCATAGCAGCTCCTCCACAAATAACCCGTTTCCTCCTCAGAGAAATCAACATCCTCCACAACCTACATAAAAACGGAAAAGTTCACATCATTTTTCTGTGATTGAAACCCAACAAAATTAAAGCAGAACACAAACCATTTATAACATTACACTATAGTCTTTCTCCCCCATCCAAATTTAATTCTAATTTTTGTTTCTAACATTACTTACAAGGTAAACATACCAGCACAAATCAGGGAAAAATTAAATCTTTTTCTACGGTATTTCGACTTGTAACACTTCAAGCCCATACCTCTATATCCCCTACCAACCCCCCCCCCACACGATTTTACTGGACTCCCTACCGATTCCGCATACCAACGCCTTACAGACCGTTGCATACTCAAATATATACTTGTTTACATCAATTGAAGACACCACCCAGAAGGCATGAATGTGTGCTTTATAAGTACGAATAATAAACAGTTATTTTATTCAATTCAAAACAATATTCTTTTAAATTAGTTTTCATGTATTTAAAAAAAATTTACTAATGAGTATACATTTCCTGGTGTGCTGACCTTTTTTTCGTGAATATTATTGTTATACTATGTACGTAATTTTCATTCTTTACATGCATTTATATAACATGATACTAATACATACATGAACTTAAATTATTCTTAGTTATGAAATAATACAACCCGTGAAAGTATCACGCTTTTGGGTGGCTCATTTTCATAAGTCACTTTACAGAGCCCTGTCAAACTACGAAGCGACAAAACTCCTCCATTCCTTCTTTAAACTAGATTTATTATAAGTAGTTTGTATAAAAATTTGTGCAATAAATAAACAAATACATGCATAATATTGTACATCTAATTTGAAGGTGCACCTGTTCGTTATTTAACCCTTAGACTTATTAGTGTCATAAAGTTACTCTATAAAACTTCTTTGTACAACGAATAAGTCTAGAATTAGCGATGACTTATAGGTGTTATTATTTAACTATAATGTAACAACAAAATATTTTTACACATACGTGTACCGTGTCATACAAATAAGTATATTTAAATTATTTTCTAGAATGATCGACGTAATAATAACAAAAAAATCAACACTCGCATCTATTAGCCTCACGGGTGGCGTAGAAAAAATAGATGAAAATGCACACAAGATATATTGAGTTGATTTCACATAGAAATAAAGGAAATTTAGCCTTATTTTCGGGAGCAAAGGAGGGTGATAAGTTGTTTCACCCAAATAAAAAGTGTAAGGAAGCAAATGGAAGGGTGAGGAGGAAGCTAAGTCAAAATATTATTGGTTTGTTAACCAAAACTTAATAGGGTTACTTTTACAGGGATGTAATGGGAATCTTTCTTTATTTGGAAAAGGAGCTGAGGGGGATAAGTAGGGGAAGAGTTCAAAACAAATAAAGAGAATTTTGTCTTTCTTGAGGGGAGTGAGGAGGGACACGAAAAATGGAAGGAGGTTTGAGAGATTGACCAAAGTTAAATTGGGTTCATTTTACAGAGTAATTATAGTATTTTACTCACCTAGGATAAATAACTAAGGAATGTATCAGCTCATAAGTAACTGACAAGTAAAAGATCTAAGGTATTCTTTGTTTCCTCTCGTGGGTTGCATATAATTATTTAACAACAGTCCTGCGTGTTGGAATTTTTAGGAAAAAGATATTTACCCTTATTTTGAGGGGGGCTGTGGAGAGCCGAGAGAAAAGTGTAAGGGAGGTCAAGGAGTTCGAGGGGTGATGAGGGGGGCTAAACAAATTTTATTAGGTTTATTTTACAAAGAAATTAAAGGAATTTCGCCTTCTTTTAAAGGGGGACTGAGGGAAGCACGAGAGGGGTAGAGATTAGAGCTGTGGACAATCTCTTGTAAATAACTGTATAATATAGCAAGATGTATAAACATACATCCACTTATATTACTTAATTATCTGTGTGGGACATTCCACCCCCACAACTCCCCATAGCCCTTTACAAATCTTTATTGACACCTTACTATCCCTTACAAAATAAGGTGGAATTCCGTTTTTTTCTCTTATTTAGTTTAGCTTACATTTAGTCTAGAATCCCTCTTCCCTCTAACTAATACTAAACGCCTCTGTATAAATATGATTTTATTTCAAAATTTATTTTATTAGCAAACCATAATGATACATAAACCTTAAAACTAAACTAATACAAACATGTTTAGATGCTATTAATCAATATTTTCTGGTAACAGGTATTATTAACATGGTAAATGTATACGGATGTTGTTTCTGTTATTCTAAATTATGTTATTTTTATCAAGACACCCCCCAGCCCTTCAACGACCTCATACCGACTCTTTAGAGGAAAACTAGGCCTTTTTGACTTTCTGGAAGAAGAATATGCCCTTTTTTGTAGCCTGGACGAAAACTATGCTTTTTTGATCCCAGACAAAGACTATGCCTTTTTTTGCGTCCAGGCGAAGACTATGCCCTTTTTTCTAGTCCGGACGAAAACTACGTTTTTTTCTCTCCTCCAGGCGAAAACTGAATGTAAAAGCACTCAATTATTATTTATTGACCACTCTTATGTTGCACTTTCCTAAAACAAAAAAACCCTCCAGATTTGACGATTCATGCTCTTGGTCTAGCAGCTTTAGTATTTGAAGTTTTGGTAAGCGTTCGAAAAAAAAAAAAAAAAAAAAAGAGAGAATGAGCTTTATAAAAGATTTTGTGAATTGCATATTACAAGAATTGTAATCAATTTGAGCTTGCTAATACGTCTTGCAGTCAAGATATGTTAGTAAACCTATCACATTCAAGATATGTTAAACAATCTATGTTAAAAAATTTTGTAATTCAAATATGTATTTCTCAAAAATTTCTCATAAACATAAATTAAAAAAAAGTTGACCTTTTATTAAATTTTTTACAAGTCTGACCTTAAATTTAGGAAAATCAATTTTTTTTACTTCAATATTTGAAAAGAGTTAGTGCATCCATTACACTACGATGAACAATAAAATCAGAGTAGGCAGTTCAGCAGTAAAACTGCGGGGCAAAAAAAGTAATAGCCAATAACAACAAAACTAGGCTGCACTTCCGAAAAAATGTTACCGAATTGTTGGCTAAAAATAGATTCATGCGGGTTTTTTCTTTTTTTTAGTATTGATTACAAATCTGTCCATAAAAATTGGTGCAAAAGAACGCAGATCATCTTTTTGAATGATTGCTACATTATTGACAAATCCAACCACTTCCTGATTAGTGAGTAAAAAATTGTATAAACATAGGCAAAAAAAAATTACGTAATGT